AGCATTATTCCCACTTATAGGATAGCCATTTTGCAAATTGCACATGTATCTTGTGTACAAGATGACAGACATTTCAAATGCTGTGAGGTAAAAATCTATTAGCACAGGATCTACACCTTTATTCTCAGAAGACATGCTGATGTGAGTGGCATCGGAAACCAATAAAATGAAGTGAGCTTGAAATACTTTTGGAGCAGAAAACATGACAGGGTTTAGTAGCAATGATAAGCCAGCAGACAGGCTCATTTGAGTAGCTCTTAACTCATTTTCGTGCCAATATAATCTGCTGACAAATTTTTCAAATGATTGCTCATCAGAAAAAGATATGATAAAGTGAACAGAAATCACCTCCAGCACACTTCCAACATCACCATGACCAAAGTGACAATTAAATAACCTTTCACTTCTGGTAGACACAGAATCAGTTAGCAAAATGAACTGTCTCACTTCTTTATTCACCAAAAGCTCATCTGCAAATACCTAAATATGATATATGATTGTTAAGATAACTATGACGGCAGAAGAACCACCATAAACTAACAGTCAATCAAAGAGAAAGAAGGAATGAACTTCAAAATTAAAATGGCAAAAGTTTCAAACATATGAAGGTACATGATACTTAGCAAAAGCATGCACTTCACTGGGGGACTCAAATGTTGGTGAATGATCACAAGTAAGATCAATAACGGGTAGGCCAAAAAAGAAAAAGACTCAAGCACAATTTAGGGCGTGATGCCAGTGAATAATAGTAGCAAAAAGGAAATTCAAATAATACATCATAAAACCATGCAACACCTCCCTTATATATCCATTTTTGCTTTCCTGTTTGGGAGGGAGGTGAGGATATCATTCATCAGAAAAAAAACCCCTACTACCATTCTAAAGACTAGATACAGTTAATTTTATTCCCACTTTTTCCAAGTTACTGTTAAATAACAGTTTTACACAAATGACATGGACTATGAACATTTGATCTTTGCAATAATTGTAAGTAATCATCTAAGATACTTTTGCAGATGCAACATTTCTCATACAAATTTGAAACACACACACAAGCCGAAGTACCTCAAGCACTGGATAGAGAAGCTTTCGGCAAAAATCAGCAGGCTTCATAGAACTTATGGAAGAGATAGAGTCCTTGGAAACGCAAGTGTCACAATCATCCTTAATATCTCCATATCCATGGGAAACCGACTCAGCAACAATAGAAGAATTTTTCGCATATCCTTCACTCTGCTCCAAGAAAAACAATCTGCTAAGAATTGAGAGAAGAACTCCGGCCTTGTGTACAACGAGTTCTTGGTCAGAGGTAAGAAATAACAAGATAACCACACAACATCTTAGCAGCACGGTTAATTCTTCAATAGAGGACTGAAAGTGTGGGTTCGAGATAGATTGTTCATGAGGACAACTAGCAGAAACACTGTGTAAAGCAGAGAAGAACTCTTTGAATCTTGTGTCAAGTTCTCTGAACAAAAGATTGGAGAGATGACATATATCTTTAAAATCCGCTTTGATATCATTTCCATTGAACTTCAATTTCAAGGAATTCGAACCAGCTTTACAATTAACCCAACTAATTGGTTCCCCTAACGAACAGTGAACCAGTAGGTAATACAAACTTTTCATGACGGGGAATGACGGCCCCTGAAATTGAAAAGATAAATCATTGAACGAGAACGCTATGAATTCCATAGAAAACCAACAGGCCACAACTAACTGTCTAAAGTCTCACGATTCTTAAATAAGATTAAAGAGAAAAAAGGTTTTAGCGTAGTTCTTTATAAACAAGTAGATAAGTACAAAAAACCCTAACTTCCGTAACTTTGAAATGTTCCCGCCGATTGACACAATTCACTCATTGAAAACCAGGAACCCGCGTAGGAACCAACACAATTCACGATTAAACGTCAAAAATAAAGAAGGGAGAAGAAAGTATACACGAAGAGGACTCTATAAAATGCTAAAAATGATCAAAATAATGTCGATACCTGCTGAGATTGAAATTCGGAAATTAGAGACTGAAAGAAGAAGTTAGAGACGTTGCCATCGGATGTACCGGAAGCAGGAGACCTTTCAGTGACCCTTTTCCAATTTCTACCTTTCATTTACAGAGAGAACCTGTAACAGGAGGGAAAGGAAGAAGAATAACCCAGTGGTTGAAGAAGGGCTTTGATCAATGATTTGGGCTTCTTTTTTTTTTTGGCGGGAAATGTGAGACTGTTTATATACTATAAATCATATTTAATATGTATACATTTGTTCCATTCCTTTAATCTCTATGTCATGATTTGGACGATATTTTAAGGTAAATACAAATTTATTATTTTTATGGCTTTTGATGTGATAAAAAGTGAAGGAAAATTTGAAGTTAAGCAAGAAGTTCCTTACAACGACATTAAGGGAAGAAACGACCGTCCGGTAATATACTTCCCCGACACATCAGGAAGTGCATACGAACAGGGAGTGATACTGAAGAGTCTATCCAAAGCCAAAGGACCCAAAGAAAGCAAAACGGGGCCAACAGAAGACGAGAACTAGAAAGAGGAAAAGAAACCAAGGGAGGATTGAAACTCTAAAGGTAACAGGCCTACACGGTAAAAGAACGACTTGAAACCAAGAATTTTGACCCAGAAAAAAGCTCAACAGGTTATTTGGGCTTGGGTGTCCATCCGTTCTACATGTGTGGAAAAACCACATGTGCAGGAAAGGAAGCACGCATATGCGAGAAGAACACCCGCGCATGTAGGCGCGAGAAGCACGCACCCTAAGCGCGCGCGCGCGCCTGGCAGATCATCTGCTGGGTTGCACATGCACGAGAGGACCCTGTCGCACGCACGCAAACATTTCGAGCGCGCCGCACGTGCCAGCAACAAGCGCCCGGGCCTAGCACACCACGAACAACTCTGTCCGCACGCTCACGAGTCCTACTTGGGCTCCTCAATTGGCTTCCTACTCCAAAATTCCACTCAAATTCTGAAGGATTTCAGGCATAAATGAGGCTGAAGAGAGGGGCTGCAAATAGGATAATTCTTCTCCAAATAAATAAGTATTATTTTAGTTAATTTTCTTAATTTTATTTGAGTTTAGAATAAGGATTCTTTATTTAATTAATTTTCAGCATGAGTCTAAGTAGATGTAATGTTTAGGATTTCTATTAGACTTACGTAATCTTATTTCCATTCGGATTAAAAAATAAAATTTTATATAAATACTTTAGATCCTACAATGTAATCACAATTCAGAAAATTAATAAAGTTCAAACGTTTTGTTTAAGAAAATTAATTTTGCTACTTTTGTGAAACTTCTTCAAATTCTTCAAGTTAGGAAGCTTTCAAAATTTTGTTGAGCTGAAAAAATCAATGATCCACTTATCAGGTAAGCAGTGGTATCTCTTCTTTTCTTTTTAATTTTTCCAATTATCTTGTTTTTGCTTTCTCTATTGGTAGGTGTACAATCAAGTAGAGAGAATAAATTAGGCGGTAAA